ATGTACTTATTGTGACCTGCATGAGGGTCCTATGCCTTTTGGAGAGAAATTGTGTTTACATCAAATTTAAAGTATAAAGTTTCAAGTAACTGATTATGTGAAGGGCCTTCAAAAAGTTAATGGAAAATTTCCATTGTCTTACAATTCTACTTTACCACAACTTTTTTGAGGGGCGCCCCCATAGCAGTCTAGCAGTGAAGGCTGCTAGCATTTACTAAATCCACACTTCCTCAATCTTATGCCTTCATTCTCACATGTATCTTTATATCATCTGATTGATTCCTCCAAGACTTAGTAAGTTCCATAAGAAAAGGATGTGTTGTTTACTCACCACGGTACTGTCAGTACACAGCACATAGTAAGCCTCTGATAAAACAAATGTTTTTGTGCCAATCACAAGCTTAGTACAGAGCAGGGCACCTTCCCTCCCAGCCGCAAAGCCCCCAACAATAAATACACATCTGGCTCCCCACTTGTTACATTACCAGACATTGTACATTTACAGCAGTAAAAAACTACTATCTGTTGTTTTGTGCAGTAACAATACACATCTGGCTCAAGCAAATGCTGGGTGCCCGGCAGGAGTAACATGACAGTGATGGTTAAGGTTATGAGTCACCGTGAGCCTCAATCTCGGTGCTTTGGCAGTTCTCCCTAATGCTGTAGTCTTTCTCCATTTTGTGCGGATCACCATTTCCTGTAGCACTGATTTTCATGTTACCACCTGGTCTTGGGAATCTAGTCAGTGGGTGTATGTACTGTAAAAGCACTAAGTATTTACTGAACGGACACACGGGGCACCAGGGAGAAGCTGGCTGGTTCTCTTCGTGTATATGCCAATACAGCAACCCCACCTGCATTGTCAAGTTTGCTTTCACTTTTTAAAAAACATTTTATTGGCAACTAATCCACACATCATACCAAGAAGAATTGTACAATCATTATCAGTCAATTTTAAAACACCCTCCCCACATGGTTAAGTCACCTTTAAAATAAGTTGTGTACTCACAATCAGTTCTAGTGCTCCCTCCTCCCTCCCACCTTCACAGTTTACTCCTGAAATCCCCACTCTCCTTATCTTCCACACACATCCCCAACCTTACATCCCCTATAAACCCTTGAAGTCACTTGTCTATATGCATCCACTCCTTCTGTGCTTTACAAACTGGGAAACCCAAGGAAAAATAAATAAATAAGTGTTATGGATAAAATAATAATCAATGATAAAAATACAAATAAAGAGTAAGAAAGACAGACTACCGTGAACATTTAAAATAGCGAGAGAAGAAACTTTGGTCATGGACATGCAAGAGATACTTGCACCTAGAACAAATTCAGGTTGGGTCAAAAGGGAGGCCAACTGACTTAAGTATCAAGTTCAATCC